TTACAGGAAAATCAAATCATTGTTTAGGCTATTGGCCAAACATTTAATTCAAATATGAACTTAATCTTTGATTTTTGGCCAGCTTTTTGCTATAGATGACACAGCCTCTATAATTTCTTCAACAAAAAACATGTGGACATCACAACCCTTACAAAAATAAACCATGGTTTTATCGTAGTAAAACTGCTTTATTTTCTTTTGAGTGATTTCTGAATGCTTGAGACTATAAAATCAATCGGACAACTGTATTAATAAAGTCATAGCCATAGGTAACTGTCTAGAGCTACAATTGTAATTTGTAAATACAATTTATTTATGTTTATATTTTATTAAAGTTCTATTTTGACCCCTATAGTAGGTGTTTTTTTTACTTCCATAATATTTGAGGAAGGGGAGCACAACAATACAATCCTGCTTAGGGCACCCATTTGGCCAGCAGCGGCCCTGGACAAAATAGCCATATATAATTTATACACTACATGATTGAGTACATAGTGCATAAGTACTGTGTAAGTGCATAGTGTATAGTGCGTCATTTGGGACGCAGCTCGTGTCTAAAAGTGAACTGGAACGCAGCCTAAAGCCCTATTCGCACGGGATTAGTATTACCTGGTGACCTCCAGTCATTTGTAATAATTGCGGAGGTTGTCTGTGATCTTAATCCCGTGCGAATCGGCCATGTCTGTAATTTGTAAAGTAAAAATTCCCCCGCAAATGACCTACCATATTTCGCCGAACACTGAGGTGCTATGATAATATTAGTCCCGTACGAATCGGCATCCCTGTCATTCGGCCAGCATTTGGCGGGTCGTATATCATTTTTCGAGGTTTTTGTTTCCTGTGCGCCTTTTTATCCATCTTTCGCGAAGAATGGAGCTGCGTTGGAGTGTTAGTATTTTGGGTGCTGTCATCATATCGCTACACCATACAATGTGCAGAAAGAGAAAGCTGAAAAGGTTTTGAGGTTAATGTGTTACAAATAAATCAAGCACAAAGCTTGAGATATTATTTTAACCTGGTGAAATGTAAATGACACAGCGCACGAAAGCTTAAGTTTACCTGAAAATTACAGCATGTGTGGAACTAAAATCTGCAGGAAGTCGATTCTTCAGGATTAGGAACGAGTAACCATGAACTACAGGAAACAGGCTCTTTGGTGAAAGTTGTAAAATAAAATTGTAATTAGTCTCATAGAAAACCTAATCATTTTATAAATAGCACATATATGCTTTAACTTTAGAACCAATATATATTTAGTTGCAAAGTAAGTTGTGATATTTTGCAGTATTAAATTAAATTGTATTCATTAATTCAATTTGTTACAAACTACCAGGCTCAAGGCAGCGCAAAATTAAATGGGGAGGCCACGCACAAAATAAGTTAACTCAAAATAAACATTTATTAACGTAATTTAAACTATAATAAAACCCGAAAGGGAAGAGAAAGGAAAACAACAAAAGATCAAACATCAAAGAAAGCTCAAAGTCTGGTGCTGGAGAGAAGTCAAGCTCCAACGAGACCACCACACCGGAGGACAGATCCTTTTATCAGTCAACTCATCATAGGTAATCCACCGCACCTGCCGCTTGTCTCCACCCTGCAAACAGACAAAAGAAAACACACACACACCAGAACCTAGAACGCCACCTAGAGGCGAACTGATCCCGTTTAGGGAACAGGCGCTACCCCGGGTTTTTCTGAAAACAACTGTTTTCATACAGCGATAACTGGACACTTTTGTCCATATTAGGAATTTCCTTGTACGACTTTCTGCACGAGAGGCCCTCCGGCTTCGAGTATGAATGAAACATACACTGCACTGTTTGAGTGTTTAGCGCTCCGTGATGTTCATCTCGCCTTATTCTGGGTCCGAATAAAACATCAGATCATGCACAGACTATACTGTCTCTTTGAATTTAAATCTATATTTATTCACACCGGCTCTTGAAAACCTTGAACCTCGAACACACTTGCCCGAAAAAGTGCGGGGGACGAATTTACGTGATATTAAAAGTGGGGGGGACACGTCCCCCACGTAATCTACGCCCCTGATTGTGAGATATAAACTCGCTGTAGAAAGTATTCCCCCCGAAACATTGACTTTCCCGAACACCCCCATCGTTTGGACTGAAATGGACTGTGCCAAAGTTAGCGCTCAGGTTTCCAGGTAACGGAGCGGGAAAGTGAGTGGTAGAACCATAGACATATAAATGCTGTATAGTCTGTGTGCTGTCTGTTTATGCCATTTGTCTGCTGTTACTGTCATTCTCTAGTCTACAGTATGTTGTTCTTTGTTGTCACTGTCTGTCTGTTGGGTCTTTCCTACCTCTACCACACTCCTCCCAGTCTCTGCTAGGCCTACCGTAGCATCCTTCCTCACAGCACTGGTGTTGGAAAACCAGGGGTCTCTGGCTGTACTGATTCCAGTAACATCCTAGTTAATGAACACAGTATAGGATGTAAACATTTCAGCTAAATATTTTCTCACTGACTGCTCTCAACATTGGAATAAACATGAATACAAACAAAGTAATAATTGCAAAAAAGGGAATAGAATATATAGCAAAAACTATAAATAGTAGCATAGCTCTATTTTCTGTTTTCTTCTTACCTCTGCGGCACTAACTGTCCTCCGCTGCAGCAGCCTAATTTAAACCTTTTGAAAAGAGTTTGGTTAATTTTACGCATTTAGCAGCATCGGACTTAAGCCCTTTTTCCCCCCTTGAACGGTTAAACGGTTCGGTCGGCCCATCTCGGGACCAGGCAGCCGGCCGCAATAGTATCCAGCTGCAGACCCGCAGCACCGGCAGTTTCAGAACCACAGCCACAGAACCGGAAGTGAGGGGCGGAGCTTACGCTTAACATTTATTTATTATTAACATTATTATGATAACCATAGAGAAATCGTGCAAGCGACAAAAACCCGTCCTATGCGCTGTTGGCCCGTAAAAACAATTTTATTTATATATATTTAGAAAAAATCTGACCGGCCCACATTAAACAAAATGGTCCGGCCCCTCTGGCATTTGCCAGAATTGCCAGATAGCCAATCCGCCCCTGCCTAAATCACATGACTTGTGTCATCAAAGTGTAAGGTCCAGGCACTTGGCCCAAGGAAGGTATCCAGTGAATGGATGAAGGTTACAAGCGTGTTCGGTCTTTTCAGCGCGCAGAGTTATTCAATTTAGGTTTAACTCTACTTATTTTGTCAAAAAAGTCTAATGGTGAAGTTCCTTGACTTCCTGTATATTCCCTCAAGAGATAACAGTTACATATAACTGAATGTTAATCCATTACATTTCTGTTGGCACATCTATTTTACAATGCTCTCCTACCTTAAAACACATTTCTTTAAAAAATATATTTTAAATACAAATAATATTCAGGTGATAAAGACAGTAGTTTTGTACGACCTACCTGTTCATCGAGTGAATTGTAATGAGAGAGTGTGATTATAGGAAACCCCGCCTTACTGTCTTACTGTCACAGTTCTTTTGAATAGCCTACTGAAAAATGAGGTTTCGTCTTCATACATTTGCATTTACGCAACAACAAAAAATGCCCAGAATTAACATTACATTAATGAAAAATTCACTCTTTTATCATCCAACAGCATTCCAAACATAATATGTTTTCCAGCAAATGTGGGCAGCAACTGAATCATTGTCTACCACCAATAAGACATATTTTCCCAGAAAATACTTAAGTCCACACAAGAAAAGAAAAAATGATCAGTTGTCTCTGTTTTACTGTACAATTTCATTGCCTATCCAGAAGTGTACTACATAATCAATCATGCATTTTATATCACATCCTGACTTGTGTTAGAGTTATGTTTAGTTTTTGTCCTGGTTTTCATTGTGTTTTCAGTTAGCCTGTTCCCCTGTGACCTAGTTTTACTTAGTCTCCTAATTGTCATTCTGTTCTCCTGTGTTTGATTAATTAACTCATCAGTTCCTTTGTTTGCTTAAACCCTCAGTTCTCCCTTAGCCTTTGTCTGTTCTACTTTAAGTTTAGTTGTGTGTTTTCTTGCGGCCTCGTAATGCCCAGAGCTGATCCATGCTGGTCGCTGAAGGACTACATCAACTTCGCACTGTGGATTGCCGGATCAGCTCTCACCGTGTGCGAGGCGGAGTCCAGCCCGGGGTCATCACATGTGACGCCGCTAACGCAAGCCCACCGGCCGCCGCTGACGCAAGCCCGCCGGCCTCCGCTCACTCAAGCCCGCTGGCCGCCGCTGACGCAAGCCCGCCGGCCTCCGCTCACTCAAGCCCACCGGCCGCTGCTCTCTCAAGCCTGCCGAACGCTTCACTCTTTCAAACCTCAGCCCAAAGGAAGAGGCTGAAGAGGAGGAGGCGGTCATCCACAGTTTCAGCGCTTGAGTCTGCTCCAGCGTGATTCTCAGCGCTTATGGACATGGCGCTACCTCCAGAGTTCGAGGCTCCTATGCTTACCCTAGAATCCTCTCCAGAAAGCTCTCCATCGTCTCCTGAGTCCTCTTCGCCTCTGCTGGTCCTGTCCAGCCCTCCTTCGTCTCCTGATTCCCCCGAGTTCGCCAGCTCTGCTCCTCCAGAGCGCCCTCCAGTGTCCGCCCTCAAGTGCCCGCGCCTCCAGAGCGCCCTCAAGTGCCCGCGCCTCCAGGGCGCCCACCAGAATTCCAAATTTTCCCCAAGAAAATTTGGGGTGGGGGTCATATGCCTAGTCTGCCTGCTCCGCCAATGCCTCCTAGTCTGCCTGCTCTGCCATGGCTTCCTGAACTGTCTGCTCCACCATGGCCCCCTCAACTCCTTGATCTGCCCTGGAGGCTCTCCTTGTCTCGGCCCTGTTCCAGTCCTGCACCAGCCTCCAGGGCGATCGTGTTTTTGTTATTTTTTCATATCAAAATGTTATTACCCCTTTCATGTAATGCATTTCAATGACCACTCACAAAAAGACAATAGTCAATAAATCATATTTATTAACATATTTAATATAAAATTATAAATACATAAATATTATATAAAATCATAAATAGTATATAAAATCATAGATAGATAGATAGTTGATTGAAACTTTAGGAGTCGTTGCTTGTTCAGCTCCAATACCCCAAAAGCCTCTCTCAAAAAGAGCCCCCAATTTATATTAACACATTTTGCGATCCGCATAAGTCCATGAACGTGTTCTCCAAGGTTCTGGTTCTTCAAACTGGGGAGGTAACTTGGAATAGAGTGCTTCTTTTTCCCTCACTGCTCATTATTTTCTTAGCACAAAATACAAGGTTTTCTTGTTTTCTCTTTACAACTTTTTCCGGCACTACTTCTTCATTGCTCTGATGTTTCCATGACCCTCCTGTTACCATGGGATGATAGTCACAAAACTCGCTCCATGATTTATAATAATGCATCAGAAGAATGTTGTGGAAAAACATGTCAGGATACCTAATAACTTCTGAGAACAAAACAGCACATACTGCAGTGGCGTCTTGAGGTGTCAGTACATAAGATTCAACTTTGTCATGGTTCCCCATGATATAGTTCCAAATTGTCTCAGAAAAGTTTTTAGCATTTTTTTTCGATAGTTTCAGTGTTGCATAAGAAAGATTTTTGTAATGAAGATGAAGATTTTTCTCATCTTTTTTGACTGGACAACAGTACAGATCACTACCTTGCAACCGTACTGAGAATCTACCAACTAAAAGGGTGACATCCTGCTTTTCCTGATTCCTCCAAAATTTGTGAACTATGTCAATTACATTGGCATATTGGACAAAATTGCTTATTCTGATTGGTACACTGATGTCATTGTTTAAGTCTTCGATGCTCCCATAAGCAATGTTTTTAATTTGTTCAACAGCACAATCTTCCCAGGATGTACGCACTCCAAATGGCTGATCAGGCATTTTTGCAGTGGAGTGTTCATCTTCTGAATTTTGAGTAAATGTTTCATACAAAAACCTCTTCTCTCTCATTTGCTCTGGCTTGAATGACAGGATGATATGTGGCTTGTTTTCGTTCCCCTCACAACTGGACTGCTAGAAAATTCAAAGACAAAATTGAGCTGCATAATAACTATTGATGTTGACAGTTAAACAATAATTGTACAACAGATTTAACTTACGGTGTTCCCTCTGTCCTCCAAACCTGAGCCGATCTCAGACCCTTTGTAGTCCTCAGGCTGACTGTAGTCGCTAAAATGTAAATGAACACTAGTTAGGTTGTGTAGTAGCCTATAAAATCCAACATGAGAATGATCTTGATCAACACTGATGTTGTGTATTAAATAACAATCAATAAAAAGTTTTTTATGATCAGTAAATTTCTCAAATTGTATTTTTATTATTTGATATGTGGTTTTGGGAGTCAAAGGAAAGTGAGTGTTGACTGGAAATAAAGTTGTTGAGAAACTCTTTGATTTAGACCTTTTTCTTTTTCTTTTTCTTTTGTCATTCTCCACAATAAAAGTTTCATCTTCAGGTGGGCAGTTAGGTCGCCTGATTGAAAAAAAAAAAGTTTAGTAGAAGCAGACAACAATGAATATCATATCAGTTACAGCATGTATCCGCTACATTTACAGTATAATGAATATACAAACAAGGAATGAAACAACTACCTTTATGTACTTGGCAAATGCATTACAGTAGAACTAAATTGAGGTACAATAATGTATGAATTTATTGTGCTTGAAATAAAAACAACATAAGTCGATCCTTAGGAGACAAATGTAAATGCAAAATGATATTTTAATGTAAGTTTAATAATAGTATGTAACTGATTACTGTATTAACAAACTGAGGGACGTAAAGAACCCACTTTGGTGACTTGAGAGATGACAAATTTGGCTCCTCTTTACCGGAGAGTAAGGCGAACTTGTGATCATCTGTTTTACAGGAAAAGAACAAGCAATTAAAATTCAATTACAATTTATATTGCATGCATGTTCATATCAATGTCCAGTTAATAATAACAGAGCAACTGTCTTTATGATTTAGCAAACATCTCTCCAAAGGTTGTAGTCTAACACTACACATGCGTTGACAATGTACTGACTGCCCATGCAATGATATGAAACATTTAGCTACATCTGAATAACATCAGACCTCTTTTGTTATGTTGGGTTGCATCATCCTTCACAGAAAAAGGCTCAGTGTTCTGGTTGGTTTCAGGAAAACACACTTCTTCTGAATCACACTGAAGTAGAGATGAGAACAATGTAATTGTCATGACATAGGTCATGTGTAGATATATATTTTGTGAAAAAAAAAACTTACTTTTAGGCTTTTGGCAGAAGAGTTTTCATCAGGGACTGCATTTTCATAAGAGGTCTTTGCACCTTTGCTGATGCTGACAAAGTTTTGGTGTTTACTGATGATCTCCATATTCATTCGAAAAAACAATCACCCGCGATCACATTCGCACACTATACTTACCTAGAAACAGTCTTCTTTGTTTGGTGTTTTTTGTTTGATACACGGAAAGTTGATAGCGGTGTGGAAGGTTGGGCAGGTGTGCTACTCGATGTGCCTTCTCCATTGTATGTTCTTGAGAACAGGAAGGAGATAACATGTTCAGAGCCCATGCTGCCACAATGTCCACTTTTTATGTTTGTCAAATGAATGATGTAGAAATAGGAATCCATGAAAACAGAAGCAGAACATATCTCCAAATAAACTGAATTATGAGGTACATAATTAATCCACTTCAAAAAGGCTGCAGTTCATTTTCTTCAAAACAGGAGAAGTATCCCAAATATTTTTGGATGGAAGCTTTTGGATACACGTAACCATCTGAGCACCGTTGCCAAGCTGGTTAAAAACATCCCTTTGAGACAAATCCTGAAGAAAATGCCATGTGCTGTGACCATTTTTAGGCATTTGCATCAAAATGAAGGTTTCTTTGTGTTAGTTCTAACAGACCAGGTCTGTTAGTGATCCTTTCACTGACAACAATTCTTGATCTGTTAACGTAAGAAAGCTTCCCTCCAAAAAATCTTGAAAGCATCTTCAGTGATTTCTTCCTCCATTCTACCAGCTTCTTTTGCATTATTGTACTTGAGGACATGCCACTGATATATCGACTCACGTTCCATATCACACAACACATTGTATAATATTAAGCATCATAGTGGAGGTCAAAGTGCTTGCAGGTGTCCCATCTTATTCTTGATTTAAGGCTTTATCAGAAAGCAATCATCCAGTCCTTCTCACTTGGAATTCTTCATCTATTGCATCAGAAACCATCTGACAATTTGGGATGAGGAGGATGCGTCCCAATATAAAGCATACTGAGGGGTATTTACTGGCGCAATATAGCTTGCAAGTTGCTAGAAGTTCTCCAATATTCATGATTTCTGCAAAGGTTCCCACTCCACATGAAATAATGAATAATGGCCTTATTTCAGAGATCTAACCATGAGTCCATCTTCATCCACCCATTGCAAATCCATTGCAGCATGGGCTACTGACATGTTAACATACAGGAGTACTGTCCTTTTAGTGTTGTACACTTACTTTATCGCAATCTTTTTCCTGCGTGTAGACATGTCTTTGGACCGCTTTTTCCGGTTGCACTGCGTAACTGCTGCTTCCACTGAAGTCCAATTCCAGTCCACAGAGAAAATGCATTGTGAAAAAGCTTTTTTTTTTTTTTTTTTTTTTTAAATAATGTACTCTGGTCAGTTTGTTGTAGCTTTTTATTGATTTGTAGTTTAAAAGGTGGTTCCATTTGAATTATTGGCCACAAAGACAGAAGTATACAGCTTGAACAGAGTACTTTCAGAAAACTTTCACTCTTTTCATATCGATACATCCAGTGCTTGAAGTGAAAAGAGACCCAATGTGTTCGCGCTTGTGCGAGAGAGACTCAGCATGTCCACATCCACGCGCCAGACAGTGAACCTGCATTTCTCAAACAGGACAGAAGAGAGTTCTGAGCTGCTGGTACAACAGAAAAATGTCCGGTACCGTGAACAGCATAGCATAGAATTGCTGGTACTGCATACCGGTGAGTACCATCCCACTTCAAGCACTGTACATCTAATATGGTTTGATAAGTATTCTTAAACCCTTTGATGAAAGTTGGTGAAGACCATCAGCATATTACTCAATTAACTTAGCAATTCTTCCTCAGCAAACTGTTGAGGATCTGCGTGCATCATCATCATTGGTCCTGATGCTTGCAGGTTAAGTCAGTGCTCATCAGCTTTGCCGTAATGTCATGAAAAAAGGCCAGTGCTCATCACAAGATCCTAAGAAGGTATCCTGAGAAAGTTCCTCCAAGACAAGGGAGCGGAAAGATTGCTTAGAATGCTTTTTTTTTTTTTTTTTTTTCTTCGTACATTTCTGTAGCCAGACATTCATGGACATAAAGCTGTCAGTGACCTCCAAGAAAGTTCTCCAGTCACTGCAGCCTCAGTTGTCAAGTTTGGAGGGAGTTTTCAGTTGAACACAGGAGCCTTGACTTTGTTCCAGGAATTTTGTCAGGTTCAGCTGGAGGTGTGGGTTGAATACTTATCAAGCCATTTCAGTTTGTGTTTTATTTAATTTTTTTCTTTACTAGATCTTTATTCCAATTTTAAATAATGCTTAGTTATTTACAATTCAATCATATATTGTAATAATTTTTGTAAGAATGATGGCTCTCTGTAGGTACTTTTTCATTATGTACATCTGGTCGCCAAAATCTTAGTATGTTTTTCTAAAAACACTTATTCACATGACTACATAAATATCCAGTTTCACATTTACCAGCCAGAAATACATAATCTCCATTCAAACATACTTCTTTAAAAAAAGAACCAAAACTCTCTAGAAAATGCCTGGTTTATTTCATTAACCCATTGGTAATGCTGTCATTTTGGGCTACTTAAATGTATCAATTATGGATTAATCTGTTTTTAGGATTCTGGCATCCACAGCTGCCATTTTTATTCTATAAAAACAACTGAATTTTTTACAGTGTATTTATGAATTAATTTGTGGATATTACTTTCCTATATTTCTCGAATTCTAGTCTTACATCACATTTTTTTGTCTTTAATATTATACCCAGGGTGCGAACTACGGGGGAGCTAGGGGGAGCTCAGCTCCCCTTAATAAGACATGGGCTCCCCTGAAAACGTGATTTGTGAAATTTTGGGGGGTCTCAAAAAATATTGACAATGTGTTATTTTGACGTGCAATTTCAGTTTTGTGTAATGTGATCATCGTGGATTATTATGTGTAAAATTGCAAAAATATCATTCATTCATGCATGACGGCGATTTAAACCTAATTAACTTCAATAAAGATAACTATACATGCTATTCCTGTCATGAGCATCAAGGTGTGGGGGCGCTGCGGTGCAAATTCCACTCATGTTTAGTACGTTAACTCAAAGATTCGTAGAAAAAATATAAACGCTGGACTCTGTGGTCGATTCTGTGTTAAAGTAATACCCATCTTGGGATCTAAAGTTTTATGAATTGGAAATTCAACCCACCATTTCTAGAGAGCAATTGTGGAACCACCCTTGAACCTTTTTACAAAACATATATTACAAAAATAACATTTAAACCATTGACAAGATGAAACAAACCAGCTGATTTGCTCTGTGCACTTCTGGATGAAAAGCGATGGCACATCTCATCCAGCTGTGATTTTTCTGATAAAAAAAAAATATTATACAAGTGTTTTGTTTTTGTGCTGTACCCGAAGAATGCTAATGTTTTGCTTAGATAATGTAGCTTTTGTTAACCTGCCTATCACTGTGTGAATCTTTTTTGTTACCTAATGGTGTTACTGTTTCAGTGGCAGTCCTGCTCTCCTTGCTTCTCTCGTCAACTTTGATGGCCGCCCTTGTTTTTCTTTGTCCCTGTAATTCCATCACATGATTGAGTCAAAATGGCATGATATTAAATGCCAAATGCAAAGAACAGAATAAGCAAAATAATAAGAATAATAATAAATAAAACCCTTCTACTTCGACAAAGCATATTTACAATTTCTAAATTAAAATCCATAACCAACAGTTTTAATATAAAATGTTTTAAAAGATTTCAATTACTGTTACTATTTGTATTGTTTAATTTTGATGGTTCTCTGGTGTATGTTTAAATATTTACACCCAGTTTGTTAAACTGCAAACCACAATGCACATATCTGACTGAAGGACTATTAAGACTCTCAGTGTTCAAAATGGGTTATTTATTGTTTTTATTTAGTATAATTAAAACTAAACAAACTGAAACTGAAACAAAAATGCATTATAACATCATTATACAAATAATTGCCACTACACAAAACATTGAACAGGTCATTAGCATGCTATATAAAAAGAATAATAATACAAAATATTGTTTAAAATAATACCATTTTTTCAGCCATGTCTGAAGACCGTCCTTTATTGTATCTGTGAAAAGATGTCAGATTGTTTCAGAACATCATCTACAATTGTGACCTGTGCTGGCAAAATGAGTCGGATACGCACTGTCTAATTTTGAGCTACAGGCAAAAGAAGTGAAAAATGTCTGTTTTCGTCGAATTTGAGGTTTTTACAAAAATGAGTTCATTAAGTCCTCTTTTAGCGATCCCCATATTCCAAATAGTAATTAAAGATATAAAATGACCTTTATTTGTACGTTTTCTGAGAAGAGTACCTTTCTCTCTGCTTCACTTCTGTATAATATTGTTATACCTATGCATCATGTCTGGTAGAATCTGAACATATGATATCATTGAAGACATACAATTATATTATTTTTGATTGCACAATATAAATATAGGTTCCACTTGCAGCTGCCATGCTTGATTACAGGATTAAACTTGGCCCAAAGATTTTTTACACAACATCAGAACACTTATAAAAGGTTTAGAGATGGTTTATATCTCTGTTTTTTTTTTTTTTTTTTAAACAAAAGGTGATTTGCTGATCACATGAAAAGTGTGTCAAACCCCTCTAAAATAAGACCTGCCTGACGGGGAGAAAACCTGCAAAACTGCTTAGTCTGGGTTTTTTTTTAGCCTGGAATTTATATCATATCCTGCATGTCACTGTCATATGTAAAAACTGATTCCTAATAAATAAAGAACAACATTTTTTTAAAGAAAAAATTATTTCCCATTTCAAAGCGCAGACAAAATTGTTATAGGGGTCATTGAATTCGATTTACCAAAATTAATTGTTCAAAACTTTTCACAATACTTTGGTATGCCCATTATAATGAATAAAAATAATTGTTGCATTTTAATATTTTTTAGCATAAAATAATATCTTGTATCTATCTTACACCAAGCATTTTGTCATGTCCTTGAGGCACTTTACTGAGTTTGTACAGAATGTGCATAGTGTCTGTGATTTTTGGCAATAATGTAAGCATTTATTTGTGTTCCCTTCTTGCAAGATATTTTATAAAAAAACAGACTTTAAAGTTATGTCCCTCAGTCTAAACTCAGCCCTGTCACACTAACCATTCTACGCCCATAATAATTTAGACTGCTCATATGTGACATTATTTACCAGAAATTACATCATTCAGGTCTCTTTAATAGTGGTGCAGAAAATGGTTAGTAGTATCATACTTTTTATTCGTATTTTTGAGGCATATTATAGTCAGGGAGGGTACTGTTAAGCTTAACAACTCAAACCCATCACATAAAAATAAGTGATTATTTTTCAACATTTTATTTTAATTTATACGTATATACAATGTACTTGTTTTACTGCTGCCATATATGGTCTAGCAGTGGCCATTCTGAGTGAAAAACCTCAACCCCGTCACAAATATATGTATTTCTCATTGTTATGGGGTTAAATAATTTTATTATTTATATATATATATATATATATATAACTATTTATAGTTATTTACTTTATTTATTAATAATTTTAATGAAAAAAATTTATAAAATAGTCATGGTTTCAGCAAATATATACTTACCAAAAACATGACAACTCATATTTTTGTTATAAATAGAATTTATGATGTAATATGTCCACTTAAACTTTGACAAGCATACTACATCAGAAATTGCACCCACATTTGCAGCAGAAAGACCATGCTGGCCATGCAGATTTTATGTTGATCCAAAAATAAGTGGACGATATGAGAGAGAAACAAAACTGAAGGCAATGTATTCCTTCAAATGTGTTACAGACTTCAACCTCGTCACACCTTGTCACATTAATATTTTTGGAAAAATATAGGGAAGACAATTAAGAATGAACACATTTCTTGCTGATTACTATCTGACATCCCATTTTATCCATTATGGGGTTGAGAAAAAAAGGTGTCTAAATATGAAAAAACCTGAAAATAATAAAAGGTTGTTAACACCTGGGAAGGTGGGAAAATATTATTTTTTTGGAGGTTTGATATGTGCCTAATGATGTGGGGTATTTAGAGAATGAATCATATGTAGCTATATACTGTAAATGTTACCGAATCCCAGGAATGAGCCTTTTATATATGCATTGCCATTCCACTTACTCTTATTGTGTAATTTTATTGAACGTTATGTGAAAATAATCAGTATATAAATTAATATGCTGAATTATGTTAACCCTGGATGTAGTGATGGGGAATGATGAACGTATAATGGTCTTTTCATTAGACAGTGGACCTTTCATTAGACAGTACACCAGTGAACTTGAAATAATCTAATATTATCAGGAACACGTATAATGGTCTTTTCATTAGACAGTGGACCTTTCATTGGACAGTAAACGTGAACTTGAAATAATCTAATATTATCAGGAGCAGGTGGATGGATTTGACGCACACCTCCTCATGTGGCCACTACCAACCAATAGAAGGTGGCGAAATAAAAGCTAAATGGCTGATCGGACCACATTCCACCATTAAAAAACAAGGCCAAAAGGGTTGGAAACAATTGTGGCAAATCAGGCCAATAAAAATTAACCGGAACAAAGAAAAAACAGAAAATGACCAAATTTGGAGAGAACAAAGGGTATATAATATAAGGAGAGAGGAGAATGATTTGGAATGCTGTGACTGTCTTCCCGGCTTTGTTTCTTTGTTAAATAAAGTCTTATTTTGACATCTGGAACTCTGCTCCTCCAATTCATTGGCCGCACCCAAGAAAAATCCACAACAAGCTCCGCGGCAATGACGCTCGTCGTAGGTCACGAACTTCAATACTACTGAACTTTTTTGACCTCTGACACGCCCCCTGAGGATTATGTCATTCTTTCGTACACCTTCGGCGCGGTTCGGTAATTTGATTGACACCTGACTAGAAGCGCTGACCCCTCCACCTAGCGGCGATACGCGGAAACGTGCCTTCGACATCCCCCTGTACTCTGATTGGTCAAATGTCACGAATGTTAAGAAAATGTTAAGAATAGCGCTTTTTGATTGGCTGGAAACGTTATAGCGCTTCGAAGCGATTGGCCCAAATGTCATAGCGCTTCGACGCGATTGGCTGTGCAGTTCGACATTGCTCGACATTTCTGAAATATTGTCGGACTATCCTTCGTCAGCTGGCGGTCATGTCGCAGTCTCCTCTGGAGGAGTGGGTTCGAATCCAACTTCTGAAAGACCTATCATTTGGCTGCAGACAGAAACTTCAGTCTGCTGGCATGTTGAGCCAGCAGACTGAAGTTTCAGTCTGCAGCCAAATGATAGGTCTGTCAGAAGTGGGATTCAAACCCACACTTCCAGAGGAGACTGCAACCTGAACACAGTGCCTTAGACCGCTCGGCCATCCTGACACTTGTGTTCAGCGAGAGCTGACTTATTGGAGCTACACCTAAAAGCAAGGACATAAAAGCTAGTGATTCTCTGTTCAGCCCCATCA